TATATAGTTTTTGTAGCTGTCATTTGGATTATAAGATGAATATCTCTGTAAGAGTTTGGACTTGATCTAGTAGTGTATATCCATTTTTATATAGTTTTTGTAGCTGTCATTTGGATTATAAGATGAATATCTCTGTAAGAGTTTGGACTTGATCTAGTAGTGTATATCCATTTTTACTGTCATCTACCCTGCCCTCCAGAGAAACTTGGAGTTGATAAAGCAACTTCACTGTGACTTACTAATCCAGAAACAAAATAATAGCTACATATACAAACTTACATGAAATTTCCTCTTTTATGCCTGGTTTCTCGCATTCTATCTTATTTACCAATATAAATGCCTAAATCAAAATGAGTTGGCACTGTAGACATTTATTTGGACAGTGTGATATCTAATTAAGAATTCCAATGTTTAAATCTCATACAGAAGGACATGTCATCCTTTGCACTATTAGCTCCTTCCTGGAACCGCCTCATGATGAAAAGGTATGATCTTTAATTTTCCATTCTAAAATGAGTCAGCACACATTATTGAGTATTTCTCTGGGCTACACACTACAAAAGGTAGAAATACAAGATTCCTTACTTTCAAGGTACATATAATATTACAGTTTAAGCTACATGACAAAGTCAGTGATCTGTTGGTGAGAAGACAGCATGAATAAGTGAGAGAGGGAGGAAAGAGGAGAGAGGAAGTCAGCTACTGATTACCTTACATCTTATTCTTTATAAAGAAGTTATTGATTTATGTGTAGTTACATAGAAACATAGAGTTTAAGAAAGCTCGGACATCATCTAGTCTTCCATGGTTTCTCTTAAAGATTTTCATAAGGCATTCCATAACCTTTCCTTACAAGCCCAAAGCAGAACCATTATTTTCAGTAAACACTTCCTGATATCTAATCTAAATCCTCTTTATAATTCCAGTACATTTTAAGTGTGCTTTTAGTGCTAAAGCAATGTAAATGTCACATCCTTATTTTATAAACATTTAAATTGGAAGTTTTTACATGTAAGTAATCTATCTACATGTATTATAAATAAACACCTAGGGCTGGGATATAGTTCAGGGGCACAAGCCCCTACCTGGCAAGCACAAGATCCTGACTTTGATTCCCACTACGAATAAATGAATAAGTAAATAAATACCCAATACTAATTAAAGGTTGTACCACAATAGGCCCATTTTTAGCAAATCCTTATTTCTCTTCAATACATCCAATACAAAAGCTAAATACTAGCAAAAATGGCAAAATTTTATTTTTGGATCACAGGTATTAATCTAGGGATATATAGAGTAGGATTTGATTTCTTGCAGAGTGCCTTAAGATGATTATTGTTTCTAATATTCTTTGTTAAATAGAACCCCAAATTGCCAGGACTTTGGTTACACACACGTCCTAGTAGATGACCTAGGAAGGAATATGGTCTTAGTGTGGGTTCATCAGCAGTAGAGCGGGTGTTACTGCAGAGCAAGCTCCCTAGCTAACAACTCCAGTTTATATGATTTAGAAATGTCTTCTGTGGCCCATTGTGACCTCCAAACTTGAGGATATCAGAAAGGACATACCAAGCAAGCCTCATGAGGTTTTGAAAGAGAATCAGCTGAACCTGTTCTCCTTGGTAATACCTTGTAGTATGTGCCACCCACCACACAACCCAAATGAAAAACAAAATAACCAATGCTTTCTCTAGATAAAATTTGCAAATAAGAAAAGTCTTTGTCAATTTCCACTTTGGCCTTCACTTGAAGCTCTGCTTCCCCTCATTCTTAATTGCATCACGTTCAGCCTCCCCGGGCCCTCTCCTAAGGCAGTTCTTTCATCTAGTTATTTAATCACCAACTAAATGAGTTGCTAATCTTCATTTACATGACAAACTGCTAAAAACAGAAGACCCTTCCTCTCCCAGAGATATGTGCAGGTTAAGAAGTCTCTAAAGTTAGGACTTTGAGTAGACACCTCAATAAGCAAGAGAAGAACAAATTGGGGTAGGGAGTTACCCCGTGCAGCTGTCTACAACATCCATTCATCAGCATAGCTCTAATGACAAATAATTTTCCTTGTGATTATAATCCTTGACTTATTCCAAGAGTTACATCTCACTGTTGCTGTCTAGAAATTTAAACAGGTGCTCTCGTGGCGAGCTCATGCTTCAGAAATTGTTCAAGTGATCTATGTGGAAGACAAGCAAATGGTGCTTACTGCTTCCGTCGATGGCTCAGTCAGGTAAACCAAGACAGTTTCTTACTGTGAACACAGATTCTGAGTATGACAGGTAAAAGCTTTTACACTAAAGCTGAAGTAGTGGGTTAAAATGCAATCTTGGTAAGCTGACACTAATGGGCTATGAGAAATCCATCATTGGTTTGGAGTTGTTTTGTTTTTTTTTCTAAACCCAAGGAAATAAGATGCCATGCTCTTCAATGCTAAGAAGTAATGATAAATATTTTCAATGGAAGTGGTTTTCAAAGAACTGAACCAGATAAGCAATTCAGAGAGCTACACCCAAGCCCAGAGAAGGCCACAGGAAAGAGGCATAGGATCCAAAGTCACAGAATAGTCATAGAAAATGCATCTAGCCAGGCATGGTGGCATGCACTTGTATTGCCACCTAATCAGGAGGCTGACACAGAAAGGTCACTTGAGACGAGGAGTTTGAGATCAACCTGAGCAACTTAGCAAAGCTCTGTCAATAAATAAATAAATAAATATTCAGAAAACAAGCACATGAAATAGAATATCTAATACTGAGAAAATTAAATGAGCTGATTATTTCATTGATGATGGGGTTAATTTTACAAAGCCTACTTATTTTTAATTACCTAGATAATGTTAAGTGCATACGAACAAAGTACAAAAAGCTCACGTACATACATAAAAAGAAAGCAAGGAAATGTCATGACATTTTTGGAGACAGATTGCTGCTTACTTGAAATGTCTTAAATTCAGAGTAATGAATTATGTTCTAAAAAGAATGAAGTTAGGAAAGATTAAGAGAGGTAGAGTGACTTCAACGTATATTAGAGAATTTAAACATAATGCATAGTATAGATGTAAATACACAATACAAATGTAACAGAAAGAATGTTTTATGTTGTATAAAAGCCCCAGGACTAAAACTGAATAGGGCCCATTTAACAATCTGGTGTTTAAGCTAGAAAGTTAGGCAAGAACAAAGTCCTGGATGTCTAATATGCATTGCTAAAGATTTAGATTTTTACTATGAAAGAAAAGCCACTGAAAGATTTCAGGCAGAGGAGTAACATTAACTGATTTACATTTCTAATTTTGTTTTTCATGGTGCTGGGGATCAAACCCAGGGCTTTGCATGTGCTGAGCAATCATTATGTCACTGAGCTACATTCCAGCCTTTAGTTATATTTTTAAAACATAAGGTATGGAAAATGGATTGCAGAACAGCAAAAGTGGGAACAAGGACACCACTTAGAAGTCTATGGCGAATATGGTGCTTCGGGTTAGAGGAGAGGCACCAGCGCTGGAGATAAGTGATTTAAATTCAAGAGCTGCTTAGGAGGTAAAATCAAGAAGACATGAATTTTAACGGAGAAGGGAGAGAAGCGTCAAGAGTGTAGCTGGAAGATAAAATTAGATGACCACTGATGTCACTCATTAAGACAGGAGTTGCTAAAATATTTAAAATGTGGAAGGAGGAAGGAGAACTTTCAGAAAGGTTGAGTTCAAGGGGACTCTCCAGGGGCAAAGTACTATTTGGCAGTAAGTAGGGATACTTCTGCTGCCGAAAGAGGGCCTATTTTATTTGCAGGAAGATTAATAACATGCATTTTCACAATTACAAATGTCTTTAACAACTGGGTCTTGTGGTCTCTTCTCCAGCTTACTTTCAGCAAACTATCAGTAGAAGTGTTAATTAGAGATTGTAACACACACACACACACATACCAAGCACATGTATAGAAGGCTCTGCTGTTGTGAATATTCCCCAATTAATATGTTCAGGCTGCTATAACAAAGTACCTTAGGCTGGATAATGTATAACCATAGTTCTAGAGGCCAAGATGTCAGCAGACCTAGTGCCTAGTAAGAGTTCATTCTCTCCTTCATATACAGGATCAGCGGGCTACACCCAATAAAGGTAGAAGGGATGAACAAGCTCCTTATGGCCTCTTTGTTAAGGACACTACCATACTTTCAATGTCCCTACCAAAACTCTTATTGAAATTTAATCCTCCATGTGAAGCACTAAGAGACTGGAAAGTCTCTTGCGTTGAGTGGGAACACAAACATGACTGTGGCATTTGGAGATGAGGCTGCAAGGAAGTAATTAAGGTTAAATGAGGCTATAAGGTGGGGTATAACACAATGAGACTGTGCTATAAGAAGAGAGACCTGAGCTGAGATGCTTTGTCTTGCCCTGTGATGTCCTCTGCTACCTTAAGACTGCAGAGAGTCGCCACCAGCAAGGACTTCACCATATGCAACTGCCATATGCAACTTCACCATATGCAATCTTTAACTTCTCAGACTTCAGAACCAAAAGTTTAATAACCCTTTATTCTTTATACATGACCAGTCTGTGTTATTCAGTTATAGCAACAGGAAGTGTGCTATTCTCAAGGGTGGAGCCCTCAAGACCTAAACACCTCCCAAAAGATCCATATCAGTAGCCCCACACTGGGGTTAGGTTTCATTATGTGAATTGAGTGGGAACACAAACATTCAGACCACAGCACTGCTCAGACTGGCTATCCTTGGTAAGGAGAAATCACTTTTTTTAAGTCCTTTAAGTGGAAGCTTCCCTAAATATTCAGGCAAAGAGCCTCGCTCTCCTAATAACTGCCTTAGAGTATGGTTCTCTTCATAACCAAAAACCATGTCCTTTTGGTATGCTAGCTACCACTTTCTAAAAATCCAGGCACTTTTAACATTGTAAATATTGTGAAGAAGATGATGATTTTAATAGGAAATGAATCTTAATTGAATCTTTATTCTGGGACACAGGGCAGAGATCAGTGTACAAATAAAACTTCAGGAAGCAAATTAAGGCTTCAGATGGCTAGCGGTCTGTATCTAAGGCCTAGGACATCAGGCTGAGAGGCAGGAGCAGTTATCTGAGAAAATGCCACATAGATCAGGAAACACTCTGAAATAAGGAGACCAAAAGTCACTTCCATCTAGATCTAAAGTGGGATAAATTTAGAGTTGTTCTGAAGTTAGTCCCTCCCGAATTTCCATGTTTAAAGGACTAATAAGATCTGAACAACTTTGCTGAAGATGACAATATGTAATAGAACAACCATTGTTAATTTCCTATCATCTTATTTTGAAATTCTGCACCGGTTTTATTGTTCTGTGTTGTTTGTTTTTGTCTTTGTTGTTATTTTGGTTTTGGTTTTGGTTTTTTCTCTCTTTAAAATAAAAAAATATGTAAAGGATGATCCTTTTCCCTTTGGTAAGTGCTCTGGCAAGAATGTGGCATTTCTGAAGCACTGGGGAGCTAAAGCATGTAAGGAACATAAGACGCTTGTGCTAAGTCCTCAAGGCACTGTCAGATGCTAGGCGTCCCACCTGGATTCCTCTGCTGCTGCTTTCACAGTGTCCACCTCTTTGATGGAGGGTGCTACTTGAACTTTGAACTTTGTAGAATTTACCCTTGGGTGTTTTGGCTGGCCCTTCTTCTGGATCACTGCAACAGACACAGAATTATTGTTTCCAACATTTGTCCCTCCAAGGTTGAAGTCAAGATATACAAGGAAGATCTTCCAAACACAGTTTTATCTTTCCATAAGGTGTAGAACACACACTCCTAATGATATTCTACATTATTTTAACCCACATGGGCTACTGAGAGGGTCCTCTTGAAGGGAATTGATAGTAAAATGAAAGAGCCACTTCTTTTGCTATCCTATTTTAGAAATCAGCTGTAAAAATTAGTGAGGTGTCTCCACAATAATAAAAATTGTGGATGGAGTTCGTGATGAATTTAGTATTACAAAAAGCATCACTAGGTCTCTCTTCCCACAAGTTCTAATGGTGCTGCTTTTATAAGTAAACAGCTTGTAGATATAGCCCATTCCAGGCCTGATTCAACTAATTGACTATTATTAGTCAATGTGACTTCTGATTAGCTTGAATAAGCAGTGTTGTTTTGGGAAAAATTTGTGCCTTGTTTTCTGGCTTTGATAAATGAGTATCCTAAGTGCAGGTTCAGGCAGACATTTCCCCAAAAATGTTGTGGATTGGTATTCTAAGTGATACAAATGTTTACGTAAGGATTAGCTCCACAGTACTAACAGGAAGTGATATCAACTCTAGTTTAAATTCCTTGATAGACCAATGTCATACGCACAGGATGGGCTGGGAAGAGTCCCTTCCCCTGAATTCCCCATTTACTTCTCCCCCACTTGCCTCCTCCCAGGCTGTGGCATGCCTTCAACGGTCATTATTGTGGATATTTTGGACAGCAAAGAGTCTTTGATTTATCACAAACAAGAGATTTCATTTTGCCATGTGATGTTACTGAACTTCCTGTGGAAATAAAAGAAGAAAGCAAGTTCACAGAGAAGAAGCAAAAATATGAATATCCTCTGGTATTTGACCGGCAAAAGTGAGACCATTGGTTTTTCTTTCTGATGAACATATAAGAAGGTTTAACATTATGACTCTATACTGGACATGGAGAATTCAAAAGTGAAAAGCCCAATAATTTTCAAAACTTTGAAACCCAGTGTAAGACAGATATATACAAAAAGCTTTAATTCAGTCGACTAGCACTTCAGGGAACATCTAATTCTAAATAACCAGTGAGTAATCAGGACTTGACCAAGGAAAACCAAGGAGCCAATTGCCTAAGCAAAGGTACCAATAATGAGAGGCTGTGGTATAGTCTGTTAAGCTTGGAGTCCAAACGATATGTGGGAAAGACATGATAGGAGACAAAGCTAGGAAAGTATATACAGGCGATATCACAATGGACTTTTTATGGGCCAGTTTCAGAATTTTTAACTTTATGGAATTCACTGCAACAGAATACACAACAAGAAAGTGGGTGTAAGGGAAAGATAAATCAGTTTAGTTGCAGATTAAGTCTTAGGAGACTATGGCACCTCCAGCGAAGCTCTATTATGAGCACCCCCAATAGATATGTTTGGGCTCCTAAAAGAGATCACAGCTATAGACAAAGATCCTGTAGTTATAACATAGTAATATTTTTTTACTGTGGATAAGTCATTCTGATCCCATGTGTTGCATGTGAAAATCATAAAACTATGGAATAAGTCCAGAAAGACCTCTAAATAGCAGTCAAAGAGGAGATACTAATGAGAAACTCCGAGGAGAAATAGCTAAGATATTGAGAGGAAAAACTACAAACAAGGAGTGTAATGGAAAGCTAGGAAGGGGAGAGTTGTATGAGGCCAAAAACCCCATTTGTGGAGGTGGGGAGTGGGAAGGTCACACATGATGATAGAAAAGTAAACACTGGATTTGACATGAACAGATCACTGATAGCACTAAAGAAGGTAATTTCAGTGGTACAACGAGTAGAAATCACATTGCAATGGCTGAGAAATAAAGAGATATGATGTAAAACTAGTATAGCATACTTTTAAATTTTAAATTTAATAGATTGATGTGGTAAGGTGTTATACTTCAGTATATTTATACAATATAATGATAAAATTATAGTTCAGTTTCTGCTCCTCTTGAACATTCTCAAAAGGTTTTTGTGAACTACTGTAACCATGATAGAAATCCATAAGGAGATTCTCAGAAAACTGAAAATAGAAATTCTGTTCAATTGGGATATCCTCCCCAAAGAGCTAAAGATATCATATTACAGTGCATACCTTGTTTATACCACAACAAGGTATAACCTTAGCTAACTCACCATAGTGAAATCTTGGAAACAGCCTATATGTCCATCAACAGATGAATGGATAAAGACAGTGGTATATATATATATCTATATATAGACAGAGAGAGATGTATATATGTGATGGTGTACTACTCAGCCCTAAAGAAGGATAAATTTGAGTCATTTGTAGAACAGTGGATGCACATAGAGACAATGATGCTAAGTGAAATAAATCAGGCACACAAGCATAGTTTACCTTACATGAGAAGCCCAAAGTATAAATTAATTAAAAATCAAAATAAAAGATAGATGATAGGAAACAAGGAGGTAGACCTTCTTGCAGATAGGAAGGGGATCTAAAAATGGAGGGGGAAGGGAGAAGAAAGGAAGGGGAAATAAAAATTATTAAAATATTTATATGTACCCACTCCCTTGATGAATGTATTCATTACGTACTGATGAAAAAGAAATTAAAAATTAATGAAGTGGATAAATATTAAAAAATGTTAACATGTAATAATTATGGTACAGTGTTATATTTCAACACATGTATATAATGCATATGAATCAAGTCCAGGTAATTAATGTTTCTATTTCCTTGTCATTACTTTGTGTTCTGCACCATCAGAATTATTGTGGTAAAATTGTATATTCTACCAGAATATATAATTCTGATAATGAATATGTAATTCTATCAGAATATATAATTGAGATCAATAGAGGCTGAGAAGTGTGAGGGGGAGAGGAAGGCTGGATACTAGGTACCAAAAACACAGTATAGATTAAAAAAATAAAAAAGTACAGAGCTCTGAGATTGAAGGAGAATTTGTTTCATAGGTTTGCTTGTTCGTGGGGGAGATTTTGATCATACTTAAGGGCGTAGGAGAGGAAAAGTACTTCAACAGAACAGAATGTGAGTGAGAAGCTGTTTTGTGCTTTTGAGGAGTCAGTCCTTGCTTTGTTTGGGCTGTGGTTGGATCTTTGTCATAGTGGAAGAGATCAGTACTTGCCTGAGATTTCATCACCAGCATCCTTAAATGGTAGATGTCTAAATGTCTTCCCCTCAGGGGACCAGATCTGCCTAGCAAATCAGACCTCAGAGAGCCTATCAGAGACCCCTGCAGAGGATTCCAGTCTCCTGCCAGGCATGAAGACATATGGCAGGAAGAAAGAGCAAGAGACAAAATAAGGGTGCAATAGGGATCTGGGTTGACCAGCTGCTTACAGGGAACAAAAGGTCACAAGGCACCCAGAACCTTGGTATTTATTCCTTACATCTGAGTCAAGGACAATGGGTGAAGGGCAGTGGGTGTTTCCAGGAATAATAATGGTGACTAGGGTGGGCTAGGAAGACCAAAGCATTCTTGCAAGAACAAGGACGAGATGGGGGGCAATGAGGAAACTGTAGCTTCTCCAGGTGCCTTATCATCTTCAGCAGGCCTCATCTTGCCCTGTGAGTGCCACAGCAGTCACTAGCCCTAGGGCTTCCAGCTGTGGCCAGGAAAGAGCAGGGAGTTTCCGCCTTCCAGTGTGGCTCAAAAAGCAGGACAAGGGCAGCTTTGGACATCCCATAGACTCAATAATTTGTGGTCCCCAACAAAAGCCAACAGGATGATTTCCACAGAGGAAGCACCAGAGGGGATTTTCAATGATAAAGTCCTTTAGAGGAATCCTAAATGAATCAAAACTTGGAAGACCCAATGGCATTACCTAGTACAAAGGATGATTAAAAAGCCTAAAAAAGGAATGGAAGCTAAGAATCAGAAGCCACCCAGAATTCAGATCAAGATCCAAACAATTTGGGAGTAATAGTTCAACAGTAGTTTGCCAAACACCGCTGGCGGGTTCAAAGCTTGCCTCAGCCGGCACTGGAGAGGAGGGCTGGCTAAAATATAAGAGGTGCTGTAGTAGAACCCAAGCCCTATGAAGATGTGGCAAAGTTGATCGTTCCTGTCTTTTAGGCAATTGCTTAGCCTTAACATCCATATATCTTAGGACTTAAGACTAAGCACTAAGCCTTGTAATTAATGAATAGATGTCTCTTTCCCTACATTGTGAGTTCTTTGAGAAGTCGGATCTTATTTTATGCATCTTTGTATCCTCCCTAGTTCTTAGCCAGCACCCAGGAGGACTCAAAAGACATTTGTGGAACAAATAGTGATTAATAGAGAACGTGATAAGCGAAGTGAACAAATGCAAATGGTAGATGTGGAAGTATGGGGGTATGGCATGTTTGAGGTGGCTTAACTATGGGATGCATACTGACACTGTGCTTTTACTAAGTGATTTTACTTGCACATAGCAAAAGGAGCCTTGTTCTACAGAATGACTCCATCTCAGGACACAGTATTTATTGTCTTTTAGAATTGATTTTGGTACTTCATTATGACTTTGGTTTTTTTTTTTTTACTTTATAAATATATTCAGAAATGAGCTTTTACTATGAGGGAAATTTCCCTATGTCACACAAAAGTCAAGCATTGAATTTATAAAAGTAACTATTGATGAGGTTAATTACATAAAATGTTCATCCAGAATAGAAATCATTCGGTTTCCCTCGAGAGAGAGCTGGGAAGCTAAATGGGGTAAGATTTAGGTGCAGCAGAATCATCCTTGGGACTGGTGCCATGTGAGCTAGGGAATTTGGGCGACAGAGAGAAAGGACATTATGCATATTTGATGAGTTGGCCCACAGTAAAAGGCACAAGTATGTGCTTAACATTTTTCTTGTATCTTTATGTGCAGATGGAGAAAAATGAGCTCAACAACTTTACTTTCCAAACGTGCACCTCCCAAGGCCTTTGAAGTGCAACACGATTTTAAGTTTTTCAAGTCTCTTTCTTCTCCCAAGGTAGCTAAATAAAATAACAATAGCCACAACAACAATCTATCAGTCAGTCAATGAATTAAATTTTCTATTGCTGTTGCTACACATTACCACAAATTTGGTGGCTTAAATAATACAGGTTATTTTACAGATTACCTGCAGTTTGACTTGAGTCTCCCTAGCTAAAACTGAGGTACCGGATCTGTGTGTTTCTGGAGATTCTAGGAGAAAATTCTGCCTTTCTTTCTTTGTAACCCTTTCCTTTCTCTTCAAAGCCAGAAATGCTGTTTGTGTCTGACTCTGTGCCTGCAAGTCTTTCTGATTCAGCAGAAAAGATGCTCTGCTTTCAAAGGTTCATATGATTATATTGGTCACGCTAGATAACCCAGAAAAGTCTCCTCATTCAAGGATCTTAACGTCAGTCAAATCTGCAAAGTGCTTTTATACAGTCAAAATATAGTAATATTCTCAGGCTGGGCTAGGGAAGTAGGATATTATCTCTTTGGTAGTCATTCTACCTTTCACAGACACATGTTTCTTCAGTAGAATTAGCAAATAAAAGTATTCTGCTGTTTATTCTATTCTGTTTTTAACACTAGGGAATTAATTAGTTAGAATTTATTTCCTTGAGCTTAGCCACAAAATAAACCAAACATACCAATCCAAACTTGTCTTCCATTACTAACCTATGAATACTCCAGTCATTATAAATCAGGATTATTATTTTCCTGTATATTTTTCTCAGTCTTTTGCCTCTGTCACCCAGTTTACATAATGTCCAGGTCTACCCTACCTTTATAACACATGACTGACAAAAGCTTAGTATCCAAAATGTATAGAGAACTCCAAGAGATAAGTTAAAAAAAAAAAACAGTCCAATCTCCTGTTTCAAAAAAGGGTTTAATAATTTGAACAGATACATCACAAAAGAAGAAATGCCAATAAACACATAAAAAGTTGTCAGCCTTATTAGTAAACATGGAAATGCACATCAATAATGTTACAGGATAACCCATTAGATCTACAAGATTGGCAAAACTGAAAAAGTCTGATGACATTAAGAACTGGTGTGACTAGGGCATAATCACAAAGTAATTTGATATAAATTGGTAGAACCACATTGAAAATCAGTGTGGCATTATGGTAAAGTTGAAAGTAATAATACCCTATGAAATGGATTGTCCAGAGAAACTCTTCAGAATATGCTTAGGACACAGGACTAAGAATGCTCAGAGCAGTAATGTGTACCTGAAAGGAGCTTAAATGCTCACCAACAGTGCCATGGGCAAAGAAGTTATAGCGTATTCAGAGTAAATGTAAAAGGAACAACACCTATACGAATGAATGCTCAAACACCACTAAATAAGTTTGCATGAGTGTCTATGTAACGATTTTATTTTGGTTATGTAAAGAAAAAAGCATATAAAGTCAAATTTATAAGTAAAAGTGACAGTTCAAAGCACAAAATTCAAGATAATTATCAATGTCTGAGGCAAATGGGCAGAAATTATCACTCTAATCTCTAAAACAGGCCAATAGATCCAGGAATGTTCTGCATTTTTTCTTACAGTAGCTACTTTATATTTAATGTTTAATAGTTAACACTTTAGTTAAAACAACTTTCAAAAAGCCTACTTTTCTGTCCAAACAAAAATCAGAAAGTTTCTTTTCCCTGAAGACAAGGTACTAGGGAGAGAAGGCACAGAGTGTGGAATCAAACAGATTTAGGTGTAATTTTATGTAAATTTTTTTCTCATCTGACAATCCTTTGAAGAGTTGTTGTGAGGATTAAGTGCCTCATAATACTTTACTTAGCATATTCAACTTTGAATTCGAATTATTTGTATCCTTATCTCTACTTCCCACCCCACCACTAAATCATAAACTCTTCTGGGCAAAGGTATTTGCATAACATCTAATAGATATTCAGTTTTGTAAAATAGGATTGAAATAGTATGACCTAGAAATAAAGGCTGGCAATTGCTTTTAATATTCATTCAAGTTAGAGATAAGAAGTCATTTTAAAAATAACAGCTGAAATACTAAATAAATTTGGGAAAATTTTTAGAAAGGTTTATAGAGCCCTTGAAACAATCAAATACCCTAAAAACCTTGCTGTCTTAGTACTGCAGTTGCCTAGTAAAATTAAAAAGGTTAATTTTAAAGGAGTTGAAATGTGTTTCAATCAGGATTCTCTGATTTTCATCAGCAATGTCCTCTTATTCCTTTTCATTTTCAGTTATGTAAAATTAATCTATTCCTTTCTTCTCTGTTGATTTCCTGTTTTCATGTTGTTACCAGTAATAATAATAGCACTGAATCTTACATTGAATACCTCCTGATTACACTCACAAGGTCCTTTGAGTCTATAACTGGTCAACAAAGAAAGAACTTGACTAAGAACACTCAGCTAGTCAGTGAGAGACTCAGAATTTGCACCAGGTATTTTGCCGCTGATGGTATGTGCCCTTCCCATTGGGCATTCATTCCTATGTTTTGCAGGTTCGCAGAAATGCCTTGGAAAGTTTCATGACTGAAAACAAAGAGGCTGGAATTGTTTTTGGTTCTCTGCCTATCTACAAGGTAAGTCAGAGACTTCTAGAAGCAGAGAAGTAACACAGTAATGAAAAATCTGACTTTTCATTCCTGACCCTGCACAACCAAGCAAAGTTGGGGAAATCACATCACAAAGCTTCTACTCCAGGATTGCATAAATATATGGTGTCCAATCCAAGAAAAGTCTTGGTTTTATGTGTCAAAGGCTTGAATTCCTTGCCTCTGCCATTCTACATGGTAGCTGTTTTAAACTTGACATTGGAGGCGCTTCATTATTTATAAATAAGACCGAAATACTTAGCCCAGCATACTAATCCTCTGTGACTGAGCCTTTGCCAAAACTGTTTGACTTCATTCTCCAGCAGATTCTCTCCATACCCTCCCTGTACCCTATAAAATAATGACTCTTCTTTAAAGGGAATAAGAAAATAGTTTATTCTGAGCAAAAGTGACCATGTCATGGATCAAGTTATCCTGAATGATGTGTTCCACCATGAGCTTTCATAGTCCCAGAACAAGAGAAAGTCATAAATCAATACATTTACAGATTACACTGGTAAGACCATCAGATAGGCATGCTAAAACAAAGCAAGGCAATCTCTTCTGTAGGCTTACCATATCCTATGAGCATTGATATAAGATGTTATCTTATAGGATCCTAAGGGGGCTAGAGGTCTGCTAAGCCTAATGATATATTCCAAGTAGTTTGCCTAATAGTCATGAGAGTGTTAGGTCAGGTTCAAAAGTTAGGACAAATGGCTGTTAAAGAACCTAAGGTAGCTCAAGATAATTTTGGTTCTCAACCTCCAACATTCCATCACTGCATAATCACAATGTTCTAATCAGCCAAGCTCAAGCAGTCTACAGGATCTTTAAAATAGATGCAGCTTCTTCAGGAAGCTTCAGTTCACAATTCCACCCATGCCAAATAACTTGCCATCTTTTAAGTATCACTGGGCTATCCATCACCTCTGTGACTATACCTGTGCTGTCCGTGCCTAGGATTCATCCACACCTTGTTTCTTTTCAAGGGGTTTCCTTACCTCCAAGTCTCCCACTCTGGGTAAACTATGTATTAAAGAATTAATCCATGAGTCCAAGAAATAATAAATCAAAGACCAAATATTTCAACTTAATATCAACTTATATCTTAAATATTACTTACCTTTTCCAAAGACATGCTCATTCTAATAGGCATCAAAGATTTAAGCTACCAGATGATGCTAAGTGTGAGCTATCAATAATCAGCCATGAGCATCTGGGGAAGTGTGGTTTAAAGCAGACGGACCTTCTCACCCCTTACTCTACCCTCCAAAATGACATTACAAAAGTAACCACTTTAAATATGTCTGATTCACTCTTTACTTCTGGGTTCCAGGTACCAAGCCCCACTACTCTAAAATTCCTTCCACTCATTGGTGTAGGAGCACAAAGGGAATCCTTGGACAGCATGGCAGCAAAGAAGAAGGGAAGTCATGGTCAACATGAAAAAGTAAGTTAGAGGGCCAGGGATATAGCTCAGTGGCATAAGCGCCTGCCTGGCAAGCACAAGGTTGTGAGTTTGATCCCCGGTTCTGCAGAAAAAAAAAAAAAAAAAGGGTAAGTTAGTTCTTACTCCCCACTAGATTCGGATTCCACAGTCTCCTTTCTGTTTGATTTTTTAATTATTTCTTTGTTCTCAGAAACATTCTAGGCCTAAAATGATTTCAGTTCACACTCTTTTGATGAATATTCTAGATGTATGTATTGCATTACAGAATGGAGCCAAAACATTGATCAGCTTCTGGCTCACCAGCAAGAATTTTTCCTGCATATTAACATAATAACATAGAAGAACTTACATTTTACAAAGTGTCTTTAGAACTGATTCCTTTAGTTTTCACAATAAGTACAAAGAAAATGATAGAATCATTTTAGAGTTGGGGAATAAATGGATCCTAAAACAAGGTGAAATAACTCCCTAAAGATCACATACAAATTAAGTGATAAGCTGAGATCCTTCACTCCACATTTCATGGTTATTCCAGTTAACCATAATGGGCTATACAACTCAAACCAAATCACTCTTCTGCTAGTTCTGAAAGTGTTCATGGGCCTAACTTAACCTGTGGTCACTTATCAAGTCATTAAAGTAGGTTAAACGTAAAAAGATGATTTATGTCTCCTTTCAATAAACTTGGACAAAGAAATAGTTGGACAACAAGGAAATAATACTTATTTAAAAATTATTGACTTTTGCTCTAAGTAATGAATGAAATACCATGAGGTATAAATAATCCAAAACTAAAATGTAGTCATAAAAACATTTGTACTCGGCTTTATAATTCATAGCGTTTGTGCCCTGTATTTGAATGCTTATTTAAGTTTTATCTCATCTGATATTAAATATATTTTCAAAGTAAATACTAAGTAACAGAAAGGAGGAGGCAGCTCATCTCCCTCTTGTAATACTCTTCTCCCTGGGGACACATGATTGTTAAGTGTGATAAGTTTACTTTTTTCCAGGAGGATTAAAATATTTCTGTAATGGTGAAACACAACTCTGAAAAGCGTGTGCTGTGACTCTGAAAACTGTACCCCTCACTAATTAATATACCTTTCTACTTCACAGACGTTACGGAGAAAAAGTCTGAAAAAAAATTTAGTTCCGCAAATAAATCTGGCTTCTTCCTTCTTCCCGGCTTTGCCCAAGGAAAGAGGAAATTCAGAATAGGTTGCTGCGTATACGGTGACAAGTTCTGGATGATGCTGTGGGCTTCATCTCAGGAAGACTATGAAAATCCACTAGTCACCCATTTCAGACCCCCAGCCCGACCTGTTGATGGGAGAGATTGCTTAAGAAGCTCAAGTGATTTCAGCTCAGGACACCAAAAAAGCAGCAAGCAACCACTTTGCCAACTTCTTTTATATATAAAAAACCACTTAATAGGCAACACTTCTTGTTTACTTCAACAAAATGGTACATAAGGAAACAAATTAAGTCAGTAGCATAAGTATCTAAGTAATACGGTTATCAGTGATTAGCCTTCTACTCCTTCCCATTGTTCGTCTCAGTCCATGACCAGCAGCATTATCAGAATGTGGAGTAAGAGGCAGCTTACTTGCGGGCCATGTTATGTGGTGCACAAGCAGGATTATTATTAAAAAGGGAAATGTGCCAATCAGGGCTTTAGCTACATTTTTCTTCCTCATTTAGGGGAATGTTACATGGGAGAAAATGTTCAGTTCTTTAGATAAAGCCATAAATCATTTATATTTAATTTATAAACAAGTCCAGATAAATAGAACTTGAATGATATCTGGATTTGCTGGGGTTCATCTTTTATTAATTGATTCTGGCATGTTGGCCACATGATCAATGTCACCAGTGGATGTGAACATAAAAATGAAATCGTCTAAATTTCATCACTAATAAATGAGATTTTAACCATGTCTAAAACATGAAGGAAGTATTAAGAGCTCAAGCCTGAGGGTTAGCTCACACAGGCCTCTCCAGGAAACATTCTGAGGCCAGCTAATAAAAGTGTTCCTGGGTGAACAGTCTGTTTTTCCCAAAGCAATAGGCTACTTGGTAAGAAAAAACTGTCCCTTAATTTTTGATTCTGATTTTCCATTCTGTTGTATAATTTTTTGTCTTGTGGGCCTGAAGATTGAACCTGAGAAAGTACTGGCCCCTATTAAGGGCCTTTTATTTTGTGTTCATTTTTTGTTCTTTGTTTGGATTTTTGTTTTTTCTATTTGGAGACAAGGTCTTGCTAAGTGTGGGCCTCTAGTTTATGATCCTCCTGCCTTAGACTCCTGAATACCTGGGATTAGAGGTGTGTGACACCTCTCCAGCTGAGAGGTGTCACAGCTGAGTTTTATAATTCTTAACACCTCAACATGTTTGGAAAACTAAGGAAATTTGTATCCAGACAAATTCCATACTTACACATTTGAATGTTTATTCATTAATATTTATTGCTAATAGGAATACCATCATTTATCTTACTGTTTTATCATTTTTCCTTTATGTATTTTAATCACATAGTGAAATTCAAAACGAAAATACTGAACATTAGCATTTTTTTAAAAATTTAAAATAATATGCATAATTCTCTTCAAGAAAAGAGATTCTAGATAAACATAGTGTAGGTCTGGCACATCAACTGCCTGTCAATACCTAAGTAATCCAAAAGATCTTTTTCTTAAATCCAAAAGATCTTTTTCTTAAACAAAAAGAGCAAAAATTCTAAAAAGAAAACTTCCCAGGAATTTAGGAAAATGATTCCATTTCCAACCTTTCAATCTCACTTGCAAAAAGCTACATTATCCCTTGGCATAGATTTCTTAAAGATGACGTTGACTACTCTGACTATCGTTTTACTTTGGAATCAAGTCCTAAATTGACATCTTCTACCCTTTTTGCTGGAGGGATTCACTCTTAAACCTGATTTAATAGAACTAGACAGTTTCTTTGGGAGCTGGGCAGAGGGAATGCGGCTATCTCCTACGCCTCGTGTGAGGAGAGGTCGCCCCAGCCTCAAGAGCACAGTGGTGCAGAGAACGTAGTCAGTGGCCAGAGTGACCTCTGGCAGCCTGGCCCTCTATCCCAGTGATCAAGACCAAGACCGAGACCAAAAAGAAGCCCTTGCTAGCACATAAAGTGAAACTGTTTCGGACCCGTGATGCGCTCTTCACCGTCCTGATGTGGGGAGTCAACCACTTGAACTGAGCCATTCCAAATCCCTGTCACGTTGATGCCAGGTGACTCCAAAGCCTATTCAAAGATAAAGGTGGAAAATCACCTGTTTAACAAAGAAAACATGTTGACCCAATTCAAGTTTGAGGAAGACTGCCCAGTGGTTTTCTGTGGTCTCTGGAATAAGTTTAGAATGGAGGCCAAGATTTCCAGAATTCCCTAACCAAGAGCACATCCCTTTCCAAGGTCTCCCAGGCAATCAGTGGGGCTCGTTTCCACACTTGCTATGATGAGAGACACATCTTGAGACCATCGCCAGTGCGGATGTGGCCAAAATGTACTACATCCTGGAGAGGTACCACCAGCATGTGGTGGGATTATCTTCTTCCTCGGTTCTTGGCATGTACCAGCCTAATGCTGATGGAGTTCAAACATGTAATTGCTCCAGGAAATGTGTTTAGTCATTGTTTATCTGTAAGTAGAAAATATGATTTAAAGTGCTCCACTGTGGCTAGAGAAGCCAAAAGACAAAATGTCAAAGAACTGCCAACTTTGAAGAATAATGATTTCATTAATGAGCACCAGAAGATGTATATTTCCAGGGTCACAAAAACATACTCTTGGAAAAGCTGAAAAAGGATGTTGAGTTTCTTGGCCGATTGAAGCTCATGGACTACAGCCTTCTGGTGGAATTCTTGATGGGGAGAGCATTGGGCTGGAGGAGATGAAGTGTGAGGATGGGGAGGAGACTGGGAGATTCAAGGTACCTACCAGGTTGAGGACCCAGACAGCTCAGGAATATGCTGAACAGCCCACCACCTCTGTCTGCGGACAGGTTTGACTCAAATATTGATGTGTATGGAATTAAATGCCATGAACACTCACCCAGGAAAGAAGTGTATTTCATGGCCGTTATTGACATTTTCACTCATTACGATGCAAAGAAGAAAGCTGCCCACGCTGCAAAAACTGTTAAACATGAGGCTGAAGCAGAGCTCTCAACCTTGAACCCAAAATAGTATTTCAAATACTTTTTGGACTTCATTGACCACATCTTGATGTAACCTCTTGCATAGCCTTGAGCAGACATAAATGTGGAAGGACGGGGGTGGCTTAGGTGTAGGGAAAATGAAAACCAAACTCAGTAAAGTGCTCATCTTGCAGGAAGCAAACCTCCTTGTTTACGTCTTCAGCTCAGGATGACTGATTGGGGGCTCCCTGCTTTAACAGCTACCTGGTATTTCTCAGCATCATTCTAGCTATTACTGACTCTGTGTACATGTGTGTGTCTGTGCATGTACATGTGCTTGAATGTAGATTTTAATCAATTAGTCAAAACATCAGCCAGGCATGGTGGCGCACACCTGTAATACCAGCCCTCGGGAGGCTGAGGCAGCAGGACTATTGTGAGATTGCAACCAGCCTGGGCTACAAAGTGAGCTCAAGGCCAGCCTGAACTGCGTAGGGTCTGTCTCAAAAACACAAAAAAAACTGATCAGCTTGAATCAGAAAGAACCCTCTGATTCCATTGTGGCTGAATGGATGAATGAACGGGCACACGGTATGAGGAGGAAGCAAAGGAAGCACATGTCAAAGCAACCCTGTCAGCATCACCTGATAAACTGTGGATCAGTGTTTTGTTTTGTTTTGTTTTTGAGTTGAAAGATGCGACATAGTATTGATAACTATAATGAAAAGAATAATGATAGTGATGATTAAAAGAATAATAATAAAACCTGCAAATGGTACACTTCTACCATACTGTTTTAGTTACTTTTCTCATTGCTGAGACAAAAGACCTGGCACCCAAGGTTGGAGGAGGAAAGGTTTATTTAGCTCACAGTTTGTAGAGGTGTCAGTCCATAATCACCTGGCTTCAAGGCAGGGTAGCATGGCAGAGGGGCATCACAGAGGAGAAACAGTGCATAGCATGGCCGGCAGGAAGCAGCAGCAAGCAATAAGCTGGCCTTCTTTCTGTCCCTTTATATTCCATCCAAATTACAAGCCTATGGATCGGTGCCACCCACAACTGGGCTGAAGCTTCCATTATCCACACCCAGAACTATGCTAACCAAGTTAGTTATCACACACCCGAATCCAACATCACACACTATGATCCAGCTACCTCCAAACATCTCTATCTCTGAGCACACGAGGCTTTGGGGGTATATCTAAGTACAAACCATAACACCTGCATGCAGACACTCCTTCACAGTTGTCACCTCACTATATTTAAAATGTACCAATAAAATCTGATTTTTTTAAAGAAGAAAATGAGAAATAGGTCATGGGGAAAAAAAGAAAAAGTTGTAGTTGTCACCAAGTTCCCCGTTCTGACTGGAAGAATCCTGGTGTCTCCATGTGTACTGGTTTGGGGTTCTGTCCCCACATTGCCAGGATTCCCAGTGTCCCAGAATAACCCCCTTCTCCTCCTCCATGAAGCCAATGCTGAAGGACTGTGTCTACATTTTCACTTCCACAAATATGCTGAGGACACCTGCTTGCTTCCCTTTTCTTGCCTGGAGACCATTCACTGTTACACCCTTATACTGCAGTATCAGAATTCCAGTTACAAAACAAAAATAAAGCTTCCCTAAAAGATGCATAGTTTGGGGAAATCATAGCCTCATCTCCTGCTCTCAATTTTCCTGTGACCAAATGCAAATCTGAATTCTAAGAGATTGATGTTTGGCCATGGTTTTAAACAGTGGTATTTTGTTACACATTATCTCTTTAACTGAACCTCTCGGTTTTACTGTTTACATTATTAAGAAATTGTGTATTTTTAACCTAAAAATTTAATATACAGTATGTGAATTTTGAAGTTTACATGTAAAGTCATTTTACAGTATAAGTGAAGTAATGTTTGTCATATTCTGAAATGTGTCCTGCAGTCATGTTTTTGAGTGAATGTTTTATTCAAAATACATGATAGACAGTCTTATACAATAAAAGAAAAAAGATAGTTTTGTTTCATCCAATGTACATGTCTCAACCTGATTTTTTTTCAAATAAAAAGATTTAACCCCAATCTGGCTATGTAAGTTCATTCCTCTAAACTGTGCTGATTACGTTTAATCAAGTTAAAAATCTCCAACATGTAGATCATTTATCTACTAGATCTCCTATATTTTCTAAAAGGTGACAAGCTATAAGTATTAGACTTGCTTAGAGTAGGTTATCTATCAATTTATACTTACTTGCTGTGCTAAAGCTATGCCTCTAAAATTCTTTGTTTAAACATTAGATTATTTTTGTAGGCAGTTTCCAAAAAAAGGAAAAAAATCCACCCAGCAATAATTACTTACAATGCAAGAAAACCCCCACAGTCTGCCTTTTCAGCCACTTCACTTCCGACAATCCAGGGTGCAGCTATGCCCATTGTGTATGGGCTGTCTTCCCAGGGACTTTTAAAGCCAGCAGTGATGCCACCCGACTACTGTCAAACGACTTTACGTAGA